GAGAGAAATCCTGTCACATGATACAATATGGATAAACCTTGAGAACATTATGCTAAGTGACATAAACCAGTCACAGAAAAGATAAATACTGAATGATTCCACTTATATGAGGTATCTAAAGTAGTCAAATGATAGAAGCAGAAAGTAGAATTGTAGTTGCCAAGGGCTCGGGGACCAGGAATGAGGAGTTGTTTTTCAATAGGTATAGATTTCAGTATTGTAAGATGAGGAAGTTCTAGACATCTATTGCACAACAATGTGAATGTAGTTAACACCACTGAACTGTACACTTAGAAATGGTTAAGATGGTAAATTGGGTTTTGTTTTGTTTGAGATGGAGTCTCAATCTGTTGCCCAGGCTGGAGTGCAGTGGTGCAATCTTGGCTCACCGAAACCTCCACCTCCTGGGTTCAAGAGATTCTTGTGCTTCAGCCTCCCAAGTAGCTGGGATTACAGGGGTGTGCCACCACACCCAGCTAATTTTTTGTATTGTTTTGCTAGAGATGGGGTTTCACCGTGTTGGCCAGTGTGGTCTCGAACTCCTGGCCTCAAGTGATCATCTCTCCTCTGCCTCCCAAAGTGCTGGGATTACAGGTGTGTACCACTGTGCCTGGCTTAAGATGGTAAATTGTTTGTGATGTTTTTTACTACACTCTTAAAAATAATACTTTTTTAAAATGCCAAAATCTTTCCTGCCTAACAGCCTTCGCGCTTGCTGTCCTTTCTGCCTGGGACACTCTTGCTTTTTGCATGATTGGTTTCTTTTCATACTTCTACTTTCAGCGTAAATGTTACTTCCTCAGAGATAGCTCCCTTCACAATCCTATTCCTTTAAGTAGGTCCCCCATGAGTCTCAGTCTCAACAGCTTGTTTGTTCTTTTTAAAAGACTTATCACAATTTGTAATTAGATAATTTATATATTTTTGTCTGTCTTTCCTACTAGAATATAAAGTCTATTAGGACAGCAACTATGTCTGTATTTTATTCTTTATTATTCTTCTTCTTATTTTATTATTATTATTATTATTATTGAAATAGGCTGTCACTCTATCAGCCAGGCTGGAGTGCAGTGGTGTGGTCTCAGTTCACTTGTAACCTTGACCTCCCAGGCTCCGGTGATCCTTCTACCGCAGCCTGCTGAGTAGCCAGGACTACAGACGCTTGCCACCATGCCTGGCTGATTTTTGTGGTTTTAGGGATTTATTTTTATTTTTATTTTTGGAAAGATGGGGTTTCACCATGTTGCCCACGCTGGTCTCGAACTCTTGGGCTCAAGCGATCTGCCCACCTCAGCCTCTCAAAGCGCTAGGATTACAGGCGTGAGCCATCGTGACTGGCCTATGTCTGAATTTTAAACCGCACACCTACCTTAGTAATGGATACACAATAGATAACTAATATATTTTTCTTTCTGAATGAACAAATGAGTCTATGTAAACTGGGAAGAATCACTTCTACCTCATGGAGTTGCTGTGATAGTCAGGTGTGTTACATGTATAGCTCAGGGCCTGCCTCCTGGTAAAAACTCAACCATTTTTTTCATGAAAAGGTATGTTGATTGTACGAGATGATTTTTGATTGTCAGTCCAACTCCAAGGTTCTCAATGGTACAAGGGTACCGGGCAAGGCAGGGCTATAGGCAGACTAGCAAGCAGAACACCTGCATTCTGGTCAGGAAGTGCAACCCTGCCAACAAGTAAGATCTTTCATGCCTGGGCCCTACAGGTGAGGAAGTCATTGTTCTTTGCTCAGAACCTCCCAGTATTCTCAAAGTTGTCCACACCTTGTGGAAAAGGATAAAATACTTAAAGTAGGAGTTCCAAACCTAGGGAGGCTTGAGGAACCATGGAGAGAATTCAGAAGGTCTGTGAACTTGAATGGGGAACAAATGACATCTTTATTTCCATTAAGTCAGCATTTCCTTTATTATAAATGTTGCCCTCCTCAAAAAATCAAAACCCTCAGTAGTACTAGCTGTACCTGCGATTTTGTTACCAAATCACTAAGATGGTCCTACATTACAATCGTAACTGTCTTGAAATAGTTTATGCTCATTATTAATTCAAAATTATGACAAAAATTAGGCCTGCCATTAGATTTTGTTATTTAATAAGTTAAAAAGCATAGATATTAATATTTCACAAATTTTACCTTTAAAATGTGTGATAACATTATTTCAATATCACAGGGTTACTCTGTAATTCTGTGTATTTTATTTTGATATATCTGGAAACATTCTAAGTGGTCCATTAACTTCACCAGATTGCCAAAAGGGTTCTTGGTACATTTATGTGTTAATTATGCACAGAGCTTGTTATGAGAAAAACTTGGGACTATAAGTCCCGCCACCCTGCTCCCCATTCAAATTAGGAGGGTGCCGAGAGAACAAAGAATGACTCAGATGTCCAGTTCGACAAGTAGATGAGTTTATTAGGACTTACATGCAGGGCACTCCTGGACGGCCGCAGGAGAGCTCTAGAGGTTCGCAACTACCACCTGTCTTTAAGCTCCTTCTAAGCTAATTTTCTGGCTCTTTGCCTACTGCATTTGAGCAATGCAACTTTTTCTTGGTAGGTTCTCAGGGACACCTGCTTCTTGGCTGGGCACCATAGCCGTGGCTCACCACCCAGGCTTCAGGGTTCAGACAGTAGACATACACCTTTAAATAACCTGAGGACCTGGCTGGGCATGGTGTAATCCTAACACTTTGGGAGCTGAGGCAGGCAGATCACTTGAGATCAGGAGTTTGAGACCAGCCAGGCCAACATAGTGAAACCCCATCTCTATTTAAAATACAAAAATTAGCTGGGTGTGATAGTTCATGTCTGTAGTACCAGCTACTTGAGAGACTGAGGCAACAGAATCACTTGAACCTGGAAGGCAGAGGTTGCAGTGAGCCAAGATCACGCCACTGCACTCCAGCCTGGGCAACAGAACAAGACCCCCATCTCAAAACAACAACAACAAAATATCTGAGGACCCATCACATTACACAATTCCTCTCACACAACAGAGGTTCCATGAATGATTCTTCATGATCATAAGACATTATATTCTCATACTTTGGGTTCTACTTTGACTCTGTAATCATGTAAAGAATAAATTAGAAAGGCCAGTTTGGTTCTTAGGGATAATTTGCCTATGTTTTTTTTTTAATCTTGTTAGCAAAAGACTTATTGTTTCACTTCAATTTTTCATCATGTGAAGAAAATCTGAAATGTATCTATTTAAGGTATTTTGCTGACACCATTCCATTCCTTCTAAATAACTGCTTATATACCACTTATGACTATAGCACCTCAGGCAAGGAACTCTAATGGAGCCCTTGTGATTTGTGATGTCATTTTAATTCAGTGAAGTATAACTATGACTCCGAGACCAACTTTTCATGGATTTTGTTTTAATGTTTCAAATGAATGTCAGCAGAGGATGTAGAATCTCCTTGCTTATAAAAGAGTAAAAATTGAAAACATAAAAACATTCTTAACTCTAACAAAGGAAAACTGCAATGCCAAATACTCAAACTAATGATGAATTATTTTATACTCAATATTTTATATTCAGTATTTAATATTGAAGAAATATCCAAACTTATTAGGCATGCTAAAAGACAGAGTCGTACGATCAAAAGTCAAGAAAAAATAGACAATAGAAAGTAACCCATAGGTAATCTGTGTATTAGATTAGCAAACAAGGACTGACTGAAATGTTCAAGAAAATAGACAAAAAGATATAGAAATTCACCAGAGAATTATAATCTATTTTTCAATGTAAATTATGGAACCAAAAAATTTACAATAACTAAAATTAAGAGAAGCCAGGAAAATCAAGGGCATATGGCAACAGCAACCACAGAGCAGATGGGGAAATGTTGCTATGCACATGGATGCTGACGCTGACTCAGCTGCACCTCTGGAGCCCTGTGTCAGGCCGGAACCCTGAAATCTAATGCAGACTCAAAAAACTTGTGCACCCATTTTAAAAAATAAAACTTCAAAAATGTAAACTCTGACATTTATCTTCAAGAGTATCCTCCTAGTACTACATTGCAGTTAATAGGTACCAAAACATAAAGTTCTCTGTCAAGAGCAATTCTTCAAGAAGCACATGCCTATAGTCCCAGCTGCTCAGGAGGCTGAGACGGGAGGATGCCTTAAGCCCAGGGGTCCAAGGCTACAGTGAGCCATGATCACGCCACTGCACTCCAACTTAGGTGATGGAGTAAGATCTAGTCTCCCCATGCCCCCCAACCCAAAATTATCAAAATGATTCTAAACCCAAGTACATTTTAAAATTTTCTATCATGACATTTTTAAAATAGTTGGACAATTAACTGTTGCTCTATTTATAAAGGATTAGGGAAAAAATGATGGCACAGCAATTGCCAAAAAGGTCTCTTTAAAATTACTACATAAGGGTGGCTGATACAGTTTGGCTCTGTGTCCCTTCCAAATCCCATGTTGAAATGTAATTCCCAGTGCTGGGGGAGGGACCTGGTGGGAGGTGACTGGATCTTAAGAGCAGATTTTCCCCTTGGTGTTCTCATGGCAGTGGGTCCTCACAGGATCCAATGGTTTAAAAGTGTGTGGCACTCCCCACTTCATTCTTTTCCTCCTGAAGACATGCTTGCTTTCCCTTTGCCCTTCTGCCATGATTGTAAATTTCCTGAGACCTTCCAGCCATGCTTTCTGTACAGCCTGTGGAACCATGAGCCAATTAAACCTCTTTTCTTTATAAATTACTCAGTCTCAGGTAGTTCTTTATAGCAATGTGAGAACAGACTAACACAGTGGCTATCCCTGGGGCTGCGGCCAGATTTCCTACAGTTAATTTTATAATCCATATTTCAGACTTGGACCTGCCTAACATTAAAGCATACATTATAACCAACATTATGAATTCAGAGTCACAGAAAAGATGCTAGGGAGTTTTTTGGTTAAATAATTCCCTTTAAAAGCGGGGAGGGGTTGGTCTTACACAAAATAACAACAAACCCAGAGCCAGAAGGAAAACTGCTTTATTATTATTACTATTATTATTTCTTTTTTCTTTCTTTTCACATGTTTGCGGCAGGAAAACAAGGTGGCTCAGCTCATGGCAGTCCTGATGATGATCCCTGAGGGCTGATCTTGGCCTCCAGCCTTGGCTGAGGAGAAAAGGGGTAGCTTATTATTAATGATCAAAAATAGACATGTGATCTACCTCAGCATAGGGAAACTTGGATAGGTGACTTGGCAAACCATGGATGATATTTAGAAAGCTATTGTCTGGTTAACTTTTAAAAATAATCATTTTGCTTATTTATACTTTATGAGTAAAATACAAAGGGAAACTGTCTCCTGGAAATCAATCATGAAATTAAAATGCAACTTCAAGTGTACTGATGAGATAGAATAATTGCATGAAACTCCAAGAGATATTTAAAGACAATGATATTGACTGGTAAGGTTGAAAGTAATCAAACATCCTTTCCTTTCATTTCATTTCTCCATTTTATTTTTGGCACAAATTTTCATTGCTCGTATTATTTCCCCTTCTATTGTCTTAAAATCAATGTCAACAGGCCAAACTCTTGCTAACCAATCTATAATAATAAACAGCCCAGAAAAGAGAAGCAAATCTATAAAAATGAGGAAATTAAATATTCTCTTTTCTATAAGGCAACCAAAAGAGTATACAAATATTATTTTACTAAGAGTATACAAATATTATTTTACTAAATAATATTATTTATTTATGATGTTCTTGGAAGACAAAAAGGAGGCAGAGATTATTTCCCCTGTTTTGCTGCCTAGGAAATGAAGCCAGTATTGAAAAGGTGACTTGGTAAAGGTCATTAAGCAAGCAAAGCACTTCTGAGATTCCCATGCCCTGGGAAAGCTGAAGCAAAGCGCTTCTGAGATTCCCATGCCCTGGGAAAGCTGAAACACTCTCTTGCTTTCACTTTCCTTGTTTTCTTTTTTTCTCTTGTCTTTTCCTCTCATTCAAAAGAAAACTTTAAAAAATTAGAATCAATTCAACAATATTTAGTGTGTGTTTGTTCTACACAAAGTATCATGCAGGACAGTCCTTGATTTAAAGGAGTAGTTAAAAATCACTATTCTAGCCTGAATCCTCACAGCTGCTCAGTCACTCACTTGTTTACCATTTGCCATGCATATTTATCTGCTAAGATAACTGTTCCAAAACTCCTTTTTCTTAAAGCTCCCAACTTCAACACTGCTCCTTTGACTCTTGACTTTGCTGGTCTTTCTTTTCTTTTGTTTTTTTTTTAGATGAAGTCTTGCTCCGTCTCTCAGGCTGGAGTGCAACGGTGCAATCTCAGCTTACTGCAACCTCTGCCTGCCAGGTTCAAGCGATTCTCCTGCCTCAGCCTCCCAAGTAGCTTACAGGCACCTGCCACCATGTAGGATTATAGGCGCCTGCCACCATGCCCAGCTAATTTTGTATTTTTAGTAGAGTTGGGGTTTTGCCATGTTGGCCAGGCTGATCTGGAACTCCTGACTTCAGTTGATACACACTCCTCAGCCTCCCAAAGTGCTAGGATTACAGGCGTGAGCCACCATGCCTGGCCACGTTTATCATTTCTTTCTGGTGAGAACATTCAAAATCCTCTCTTCTAGCTTTTTTGAAATATACAATATTGTTAACCATTGTCACCCTACTGTGACTAGAACACCAGAACTTCTTCTAACAGTCGCTTTGTACTTTTTGACCAATTGCTTCCTATGCCCCCATTCCCTTTCCCCTCCACAGCCTCTGGTAACAACTATTCTATTCTCTACTTCTGTGAGATAAACTTTTTTAGATTCCATACATGATTGAAATCATGTTTGTCTTTCTGTGTCTTGCTTATTCCACTTAGCATAGTGTCCTCCAGGTTCGTCCGTGTTGCCACCATTCCACTGCTGGGTATCTATCCAAACGAAATGAAATCAGTATGTGGGAGGGACATCTGTGCTCCCATGTTTATTGCAGCATTATTCACAACAGCGTATAGAAGCAGCCTAAGTGTCCATTGACAGATGAATGGATAAAGAAAATGTGGTGCTTATATACAAAGAAATACTACTCGGCCTGTGAGGAGAAGAGCTCCAGTTCCTTCAGAACCCTCCTGAGGGGGCACCATGGCAGCTTCAGGAGGACCTGGGGCACCATCCCGGGGAAGAAACAGCTTCTGTCTGTGGGCACAGCTGCTGAGGAGGAAACTTTGGTGTGGATTCTCTGGGGCATTTTTCCTACCTCATCCATACATGTTGCTGTAATGACATGATTTCATGAATTTTTAAGGCTGAAGAGCATTCCATTGTGTATATATATTGCATTTTCTTTATCCCTTCCTCTCTTCATGGACAGAATCTTGCCTCAAGAATATGAGAATGTTGTGGAGTCCTGATAAGTAAGCGACAATAAAGAAGGGGCCTCAGGTGGGGAAGGGCCCCAGGTGGAGAACAATGAACAACTGTTCTGAGAGATGACCTCTGCATGCAGCCCCCTCTAGCACAACCCTATAAAACGTCCCTCCAGCCCTTGCCTTTTTGCAGGCAGCCCCTTCTCTGCTGTGCTGCCTGTTGCAATCTTGCAATGTATTTTCATATTTTCTCTAATAAATCTGCCTTTCTTTACCTACAACTATCTTGGTAAATTCCTTTACCACCTGCAACACCAGCCCGGCCCCAGATAGTCACATCTGTGATGTTTTGGTGGCCCGTACAGGGACTGTTCGGGGACCTCTTCCTCTACTCTCTCCCTTTCCTGTCCTCCAACTCCAACCTCTTGGTGACAGCATCCAAGCACAGAGACAGCTGAAGGTCCCCAGCCGGGGCCACTCCTCAGCAGACCAGAAGGTCCCTGTGAAAAGATGTCTGACCACCACTGCCTGATTAGGTGAGAGTTCAGAGTTTGCTTTCCTTTCCTGTCTTCCAGCAGACGAACTCCAGCATCCCTCTGGCAACTGATCACAACTGGCCAGGCCCACACCTTGGTGTAGCCTGAAGGCCAGAGGGTGAACAACTTTGGCTGCCTTGCCCAGAAGGGAGGAAGACCCTCTCCTATCCTTTCTGGTTAAAAGTCCCCAATCCCTTTGTGTGGCACAACTGGCACACAGGTTTGGGGGAACTCAGACGCCCTCTTTCTCACTCTAAATTCTCCCATGAAGACAGCCAGACATCCTGCTCTGGATGCTCCCAAATCAGGTGATCTCAAGCGGCCTCAGAGCAGTGAGTGTCCCCATTCCTGTCCCTTCTCCAGGGCTGGCAGCACTCTGTCTCTCTCTTTACCCTTTTTCCTCATACCTGGGCTGATCACCCAACTTAAGGCGCCAGCACTGAAAGGTCCATTCTAATGGGGGTGGAACGCCCCTTTAGAAAGTGCACTTGTATCCCTTTGTGATGTGAGCAGAACCCTTTTCCTCAGCAGGATGCCCCTAAAGAAAGTGTGGTTCATGTTCCCAGCAGACATTACCCCCCAGCAGCTCATCATTTTCTAGTCCCAACATGGGACAAACCCCATCTATTTCTTCAGACTCACCTCTGGGCTACATCCTAAAACATTAAGACAAATTTAACTCTCAGATTCTCAAAAAGAAACATCTAATTTTCCTTTTTTTTTTCCAGTTTCATCTTTTTAATAAGCTCTGTGAAGGACATCCTAAGCAGTATATAAGACAAACAACATTTTTTTCTTCTGGTATTAAAAAAAAAAAATTTGCAAACATTTTAAAGCAACTCTTCTATATAGTCAGTTTGGTGATCTGAATTAAAGAAAATCCCTAAATAATCATGTTCTTGATGCAGATTTCTTATAGGTACATTTGGAAATTGCTTCCTAACCACAATAAATACTGTGTACAGGTTTTTAAAATGTCCCTGGATACACATTAATTTTCAAAAACCAGTCTGGTCAAATGCCAGGACCAGTTATTGCTAGATCCAATAATCCAGAGAGCTCAAACTAAAAAACTGGTAAAAAGAAAAATACTCAGACCCTGCAAATGTTTTATAATTTGGCTTCAAATGGGAGGAAAAAATTTAAACAAAGATGGAGCTGTCTAAAAGGTCTTTAACTAGCTACCTTGGGAGCTCAATTTAAAAACAAGAGGTTGATATACTATAAAATAAAATGTTTCCATGCAGCTCGAAAAACCTTTATAAATACAGCCTTTTGGAAGGATGATCCTGGATCAGAAGAGCTATTCCTTGTGTATATTATGTGCACATGTATCATTTCAGTTGTCATAACTGCCTCTGTAATTCCTTCTGAGTAGCATTCATAACTACCCTGGTTTCTGACATTATAGTAGCTGGACTGTCCATATCCATATCTATATCCTCCAGGTCAACTGTCACACCTGCCACTCCCATAGTCCTGGTTCCCACCACTTCTAGAGTAGCTGCGACCATGCCCATGGGTCCCAAAAGCACCTCCTCTGGTTCCCCAGCAGACTTGCCTGCATGATCCACGCGGATCTGGTGACCATCCAGGGACTCTCTGTTCATGGCTCTCATGGCATCTGAGGCATGCTCTGGGTTGGTGATGGTGACGAAACCAAAACCCTGGACCGCTGAGTTTCCTTGACAACCACCACAGAGATAGGCCTGAAGGTGCTGAAGTGGCCTTCCAGCACCTGCTCATCAGTGTTAAAGTTGAACCCTTCTTCAGTGGACATGGCAGCGAGTTCAAGTCTTGGAAATTAAAACTTAAAAAACTCGAACAGACAGTGAGCTCAGAGGTGCAGAGAAAACAGGGCACATCTAATTTTCTTGTGTAATACATTAATAGCATGGCCCCTATGCAGGAAATTCTCAAATTAGCCTCCTCAGTCTTTTATAACTGAGAGCAGAATAAAAAGGACAGAGCTAAGGGGAAAGAAAAACACAGAAAACACAAGGACAAAAGGCAGGCTCAACTGCTGGCTGCTTTATGAGCCCCCAGCCCTGTCTAGGTTGCCCTCAGAATATCCTCCAGGTAACTGCCATCAGTGCAGAAGGCCAGGCCACTGAAAGGCAAACTGTCCCAATGGGACAAATGGGGAAAAGCCTTACACAGTTTGCCCCCTCAGCCACAAGCTTGGCCATGGAAATGGGACTGCTCGAAGGGCCCCCAGGACAGAATCCCATCCGACACCCCCGATGGCCCTCTGCTGGGGTGGGGGTCTCCGCTCCAGCTGGCTTCCAAATCAAATATCATTACCAACAAAACAAAGCCAAGGGCAACTCCGCAGGCAGCAAATAAAATTATAAATTTCCCTTTTGAGTTCAAAAGCTGTCTGTCATGGAGGCGCCTCCTCTACCCCTTTCTGGAAATAACCTTTTGCTTACATGGTAAAAACCTAGAAAATTACTATCTGGATGTTAACAGCCTTTTAGATTGGGTCACTACTGGAACTGGGTAGACGGATAAAAGAAAAAGGTTAAATTGAAAGAAGGATGCAAAATAACAACATAGCTAGTCTTAGAAAATTATCTTGAGCGGTTAAAATCCTTTGCAAGCTTGAAAACGCTTTAAACTCCTTCTGGAAAAAACGGCAGTCACCTTGTGCTGTAGATCAGTGGCTAAAGCTTTGCCCTATCACAATGTGTTCAAGTCTTGTCTTTCAAAGTGAGTCCTTTGTGGTTTAATACTTGTGGTATTTTTGCCCTTTATTGATTCTTTTCCCCTCCATGAACAGCTTCTGATTTCCTGTCTTGAAATTTTCTTTTCTCTGAATTACCTTTGGGGCAATTCTAGATCTTGTAAATCACTGACCATCTCTTTGGAGACAGCTCATATGTCTGTGTTGAAGTCTTCTTCTTGGTTAAGGCTTACTAATATCATGTTATAAATTACCTTTAGTAAAATATTCAAAAGCCAGAAATACTAGCCATTTGTCCTGACTGAAATCTGGCAATAAAAGATTTTTAAAAGATTGTTCTTTTAAAAGTTCTGTAGTTAAAAATCAACTTAAAGCTTGTATTTGGTCTGCATGTATACAGATATAGGTTTTAGAGAGAAAGCCCCTGCTTTCTCTCTAAAAACTTCTCAGTTGATGGAGTTTTGTCTTAATTCTCCATTTCTGTCTGTGTATTTATATGTGATTATATAAAAGAGTTCTAATTGGCTTAAAGAAAAATAAGCACTTAAACATATTGTCAGAAAAATAAAACTTTAATGCCTTTTAGGTCACGTGACATAATCTTTTAAAAAGACAGTTTAAAGATTATTGGTAAAGTAAAATAAAATATGTCATCAAAGTTCACACATTTAAACTAAATTAGGCAGTCGGATACTGCTTACTAGATGCTTTAAGGCCATAAACTGCTTCTATGACTTTTAATAATTGACTTGTTTTATAGCCATTAGACTCCAGATAAGGCCTGGGGACATATGAAGTTAGCCTGGTCCCCTGGTTAGTCTGGGAAGAGTCTGACATAATCTACAGCTTGTCCTGAGCTCTGCAATCTTATACATGGTTAAAATTACTCATCAGGGCAGAGCACGGTGGCTCATGCTTGTAATCCCAGCACTTTGGGAGGCTGAGGCGGGTGGATCATGAGGTCAGGAGCTCGAGACCAGCCTGGCCAACACAGTGAAACTCTGTCTCTACGAAAAATACAAAAATTAGCTGAGCATGGTGGCGGGCACCTGTAATCCCAGCTACTTGTTGGTGGGGGGGATGCCGAGGCAGGAGAACTGCTTGAACCCAGGGGAGGCGGAGGTTGCAGTGAGCCGAGATCGCGCCATTGCACTCCAGCATGGACGACAGAGCTAGACTCCATCTCAAAAAAAAAAAATTACTCATGAGATTTTTCGCCAAAAATAACAGTTGCTAAGAGTTAACATTGTAACAGGTACTTGAGACTGCTGGAGAAACAGTTTACATGCAAAGTATAGAAGGAAAGTAGAATATGCTTTTGGTGGGAGGTTATAAGAAGGCATGAAAATATGGCTTTCGTTAAAGGGAATGTACTTTTGTCTTGCTCAGAGGGTTTTAAGGATTGGCCTAACCTACAGGAGTAATGGAATAAAGCTGAAGGTTTAAGCAAGTTAAAAAGTAAGTTGTGGAGGGCTGATCTTGTAAAAAGTTCTGTGGGTATTAAAACACTGGCTAAGACTTGAAGGGAAGTATTTAGTTTTCCCATGGGTTGAAAATTGAAATAAAAGCACACTAATGCGGGTCCAGAATCTGGGCCCATGTGTCTGAATAATAGTTTTCTTAGATAATTAATCTGCCGTTTAACAGAAAACGATAAAAGGTTATAAGAGGCTTATGGAAATCTTACCTTATGGTCAAGCTAATAAAGATTGGACAGATTTGTTTATAAGGTTTTATTAATAATTGGATTTAACATTAATAGAACACTAGTACAAAGATGTAATTTGGCTTTCTCTTTTAAACAAGATTTTCATGTGATATAAACAAAAATGAAAGAATTTTGTTTGCCTTTTAAATGAATGACAGAAAAAGGAGGGAAGAAAAAGGAGACAGATCCAGTTGTCCTCATGCTGTCTTTATTGCAGCCTGTTTTGAAAGTTGAGTCTCCCCTCTATCAGCGAGTAAAGATTTTTGCCTTTTAAAAATTTTGGACTTATTATTTTGGCTAAATGACTTATAGTAACTTTGTACTAATCTCCTTCTCTAAGCAACTCTCCTCCAAATCCTGTTGGGTAATGGAAAAAGTGGCACCCTCTCCCTCCAAAAGAAAAATTCATATCCCTTTATACTATGTAAGGGCTCAATTACCATTTTCCCTCCATGCCCTGGTAATATCTAAATACCACACACCCCTTTGGGGCAAAAACATACTTTCCAAGATGGGTGCCTGCTTCATATTTACCCAACCTCTGAATTCATCTTTCCCTCTAATAGACCCATTTCTCCTGGGAAAGCTATCTAAATCTTTAACAAATAACTTCAACCTAGATAGTCTTATTTCAGGGGTTTAAAATAGCCCATACTTATTCAGACAAGCCCTAGCAAGAAAGCTAACTGAGTAATCTCTTGATGGAACAACTTCTACAATATGTAAATAACCTCCTCATTTGCTTCCCTTCCACAGAACTCACACAGAAACACACAGCATAAACCACAAACTCCTAAAAAAAGGAAAATAACTCCCTACAACTTAAAGTATAATAATAAAAAATAAATAAATAAATAAAGGAAAATAACTTTTGTCTAATTCAAAGGTTAATTGTTATATGTAAAACAAGATAAAATGGAACCAGGAAATAAAAGAAACATAAAGAAAGTTATAAAGGTAAAGAGTTGTTTTTGGTAATGAAGGTTATGAAGGTTTTACATGAGAAAGGATTTGTATGGTAAATTCTTGTCCTAAAGTAAAATGACTGCTTGTTTAAGAAAGAGGGATGCTTAGGACAAGTCAGAAAGTCTGGGCACATCATAGATGGTCTGTGTAAATCATGAGAAAATTTGTGAAATTCACAAAAGGAACATTATATGTAATTAAGATATAATAGTCTCTCTAAAATTGGCTCCCTATGCTGTGTCTAATTAAATTCAAACACTTTTTCATCAAGTGTAACTTCCAGGTTATCTAAATGGGCTTCCAATAAGGAAAAACAGTCACACTACAAAGGGTTTTTCTTTGCCTTTTTGGTAACTGGTTCAAGAAACAAAATTTTATCTTCTAGAATTCAGTAGTTTCACCTTCAAATGGTGCTATGAACAGGATATTGGACTCTCCTCAATGATGTCTGCTACCTTTAGGAGTCTCCCATTCAGCTGAAGGCCAGTTTTGCCTAGACATGCTCCCCCTCTCCAATGAATGCTCTCCTCCAGCATGATCCAATATCCTAGGTCCTACAACCCAGGACAATGGCTCACAAGGTCTCCTGACAGACCAACAACCATAGGTTGGGTCAACTCCACACCCCTGGTCAGCAGGAAGCAGTTGGAAGATGAGACCTCTACCCCAATGCCAAAGCTTTGTCATTGCTGTTCTGTCATAGGGGGAACGTGGATTCCTGATAAGTAAGCAAAAATGAGGAAGGGGCCTCAGGTGGGGAGGGGCTCCAGGTGGGGAGGGGCTCCAGGTGGGGAAGAATAAATAATTGTTCTGAGAGATGACCTCATTCCACACAATGACCTTGTTCTGCACATAACCCTGTCCAGTACAACCCTATAAAACTTTCCTTCTGCCCCTGCCTCTTTGCAGACAGCCCCTTCTCTGCTGTGCTGCCCATTGTAATCTTGCAACGTATTTTCATACTTTCTTTAACAAACCTTTCTTTACCTATAGCTGTCTTGGTAAATTCCTCTACTACCTGTGACAACAGCCGCAGACAGTCGCATCTGTGAGAAACATATCTTCAGTGGTCCAGAAGATATGCTGCCTGCCCCAAGCAGTGGGTCAAAACCATCTGGTAACATAACAGAGTACACACTGGGGAGCAATTCACTGGAGCTTCTGCCGAAGACCTGGTAGGGGATTTTCCAAGTGAGAGGTCAGAGAAGGAGGTCTCATCTGTGGTCAACGTGGACTCAAAAGCAAGTGAAAATCTTTCTGTCGAGGACATACTGAAGCAGCTTCCTTGTTACAGGGCACTGGAGAAGGTCCCATGGAAGACCAAGGCAGCTTCAAGAACATGGAATACAATTCTCCTCTGGACATCATTTATGAAGGTAGCTCTAAGGATGAAGACTATTCAGCTGCTCCTGAAAGATCTCAGCATAACATCTGGCAAATCAATGGATAAGGAAGAAGATGGTTCCCATATGTCAATTTCACATAATCTTTGGTTCCCATATGTCAACTTCATGGAATCTTGAGTGGATTCTGGAGAATTTCAGCAGCGATGAGGATGATGCTTCAGCTTCCCGTGAGGATCATGTGCACAATGACTTCGTTCTGCACATTTTACACATCTGAAAAGAAGATGCTGGCAATATATCATCAACTTCAGGGGAAAGTAAGTGGATTCTGAAGAGGATAAGTGGTGAGGAGGACTCTCCAGCTCCCTGACCACCTTCCCATCACCAGTACACTCTTCAGCGGGAACCTCTACACCAAGGTCCCTAAGCAGACATCAGAGTGAGAGACAGAGATGGAGCTCCTTACAGCTAGAAAGTTATTTCTCATCCTGATAACTCTCATTGCATCATATGGGTCCCATCAGTACAGATATATCCAAATGGGCCACTCTTCTGTTACATAGACTAAATTGCTCATTACCTTGAGACTCTAATTATAGATGTTTTCCTCCTTGCCATCTACTGTAAAAGAGTCAATCAACAGTGGGTTCCAGGATCTCAGTGAACTTGTGGTCAGCCTTATCCATAGGATCAGAGTTCACCTATAGAACAGAAAACTGCTTTTAGTTTAGTGACTGTCCTAAATAAGTGGAGTACACTATCTGAGCTTTGCCATTTTTGTCTTTTTCATTCTTCTATCCATCCTAGTTATCCTGGGAATCTCTCTGTTCACTAAACTCATTCCTGTTGTACATACTGTCAAAACTGTCCAACATGAATGACATCTTGTGCTGATGAGGATGAGAAGACATCCTCACACTCCAAAGCTGTTGGAAAGAACCTACGTAAAGGACCAGTGAAACCATTTATCTGCTTTGTTGCTGTTTCATTAATTCACTATGAGACTATGTGCTTGGGCACCATGCTCTCTGCCTGAGCCCAGGGCACCAAGAGAGGAGCTAAGAGGCCATCTGTGGGTCGGCCCAGGCCACTCAGAACGATGGTGATGGTGACACTTGGCTGGAATGCTCCTTGCCCCTGGCCGCGAGGCCAGCAGCTGGGATTATTGACACCTCTGCCTCCCAGCACAGGCCCCAGGCAAGGACCAGTGGACTCCAGAGCACTCACTGCCCAGAGGCCACAGATGGTTGATCCAGCAGGGGCACCTCTTGGCCGGGTCCCTGGTGCCCCCTCGTATGAACCAGCCTGGGGAACTAAGAGCTCCACAGCTGTGGGTATAATACAGTGCCCAGGTCCGGGATTTGGGGTGGGGTAGTGGTGTTCAGGACAGGAGACTGGGGCAAGTTGCCTGTGGACTTGTGAAAGTGAAAAGAAGTCAAGGGAAATGTTTATCTCTGTCCTTGTCCTAATGCTAGCAGTATACGCCACAGGCTAAGGATTCCTTTTAAAGCCCACAGTATTCCCCCACCTAAGTCCCAGTATAACCATCATTTCCATGAGTGCACATGCAACAGCTGCTATGCCAAGCTCCATGATTGTATTCGATCTTCACAAACTACTACTGCCATAAGGCAGTAGTTAGTGGCATTTCCCATTTTACCTCCAAGGAATCTGAGGCTGGGGGATAAATAACTTGCCCATGGTGAGTGGAGAAGCTAGGACTGGAATCGGCATCTGCTTTTCTCTAGAGCCTGGGGTGTTTGCCCTTAAGTTGCTCTCCTGCCTTCTCTGTGGTGGGTACTTTCTAGTTACTGTTTGTGCTTTACCAAGAGGAGTTGGCCCTGTTGCCTTCCTCACCTCTTCTTCCCTTCCTTACTTTGGTGACTTCCTATGGCCAAGAAGAGGGTCTGCAAGACTGTCTCTGTAATCCATGTAAAATGACTGGAATCTTTTGGAGAAATTGTGAAGTAGACTTGGGAACACACTAAAGAAGCCTATGTTGGGAGCTTGGGGAAAAACAGTACCCGGAGACAAGTACTCCAATGGAAGCTCTGCCTTCACTGTGAGAACATACCAGGGCTATGTATGGAGGGAGACATGTGGAGCAGAACTAAGTCACCCCAGCCAACCTCCAGACCTGGGAGGCACCAACTGATAGCCAGCTGTTCCCCAGTCTCATGAGTGAGCCCAGCTGAGACCTGAAGAGCTGCCCAGGCTGAATCACCAACCTATAGATTTGTGAGCTGAAAGGAGAAATGATGAAGAAAATGTTCTTAGAATTCACTTCTGGCAGACTCTTGTCAGCTTTGCTTTCATTTGTTAGTGAAATGCTTGACATCTTTCCTTTACTTTATAAACATTATGTGCACATTATTCAGAATTCTAATAGAAAGTAATTTCCCATTAATGCAGGCTGTAAAATGCCATTTTACTTGAAACTATGCCTCAGGAACAAACAGTACAGGACACCTTTACACTTGCAAATTCCACTCACAAATCAAGGAAGTCCAGTGTCGAGTGAGACAGGGACTTAAAGCTACTGTCAAGGGAAATTTAGAAGAGCAGCCTAGGACAGGCATAGGCAAATGGCAGACAGTGGCACACAGCAGAGTTTGCAGCAGTGGAGAATCCAATTATAGGACACTGAATTTTTTTTAAAGCCAACTTTTGCGTATCTGTGATCTCTGGCTGACCAGCACCCTTCTAAGAACTTCATCTGCCTAGACACTGAGATACTGGCCAACAAGGGGACAGAAGCACTGACATGCATGGCCTGGATAAGGAAGCCAAAGAATTCACTGTTCTATCAGTATTTTTCCTTCTACGTCGAATATACACAGTGGACTTTCTTTGTGACCATTTGCTGACCACACAATGTCTGCAATCATGAATTTTGGAAATAAATAATTCCCAATGCTCTTAAACAAATACACTATGATCTGTGAACTTTAAAAACTGACTTAAAGTCGCAGTAGTTATTTTAGAGAAGGTCATGAATATCATTATGGACCTAGTCCAGCAGTCCAGTAAACAGAAATAACATGACAGATTTTTAGCAGAAATAAGTAGTACCTGATTCAAGTTACAAAATAATTTCAAGAAGCCCCGAAAGAGCGTTTTCCCTTTCCAAAAAATAAAAGTGGATTTAGTAGAAGAAATGCAATGATTAAGAAACTTTAGAACCTATTAACAGCAACGTTAGTGAGAAGGTGAAATTGTGTGTTATTAATAACTGTTACCCTGAAGAAAAAGAAAAAAAGAAAATAGAATACAAAAAAAATTTTTTAAGAGAAAAAAGTTTTAAAAATTTCAAAAAGAAATTGTATGTTAGTTATATCAATAACAAATTTAAAAAGACAATTACAAATTCTGAAAAAACAAATCTGTGCAATAAAACAAGGGCTAAGTATAAAGTTAATTACGATGAGCATTACTTTGAGAATACAAGAGATTATAAACATTAAAAAACAATACATGGCCAGGCATGGTGGCTCACACATGTAATCCCAGCACTTTGGAGGCCAAGGTGGCAGGGTCACTTGAGTGCAGGAGGTCGAGGCTGCAGTGAGTTGTGATCGCACCACTGCACTCAACCTGGGCAACAGAGAGAAACCCCGTCTCAAGAAAATTTTTTAAAAATTGTATTTATTTTAAAAAATGATACCCTAAAATATTACCTTGGAACTTCCCAGGTGTGATTTTTATTCATTGTGGTCAATCACATGTATGTCTTGGATCTATGGAGAAAGAATTTTACACAATCTTAATAGCAAAAATTCTATTAAATCAACATAGAAACAAAGTATGGACAACTTAATTACAATTACAGAGAACCATTTAAGCTCTATGAAAATTAGCTGTTTAAAAATAACGTTAGAGTTGGCTAGGTGTGGTGGTTCATGCCTGTAATCCCAGCACTTTGGGAGACCGAGGCAGGTGGATCACCTGAGGTAAAGAGTTTGAGACCAGCCTGGCCAACATAGAAAACCTCATCTCTATTAAAAAGTACAAAAATTAGCAGCGAGTGGTGGCATGCACCTGTAGTCCCAGCTACTTGGGAGGCTGAGGCAGGAGAATCACTTGAACCCAGGATGTGAAGGTTGCAGTGAGCTGAGATCACGCCACTGCACTCCAGCCAGGATGAGAGAGCGAGACTCCATCTCAAAAAAAAAAAAAAAAAAGAAGTTAGAGTTGACAGAATTTGGGGGTAGGATGTATAAGGAACATGTAAGGATTCCAATTGTTATGGGACCTTGTGAATATTAAGTACATAGATACATAGTAAACATGATAGATCCAGAAATACAGCTTGAGAAAGCACTTTAAAAGTTACAAACATAACCACTAGACAAACTGAAAATAATAATGAGATAATAAGAGTTGGGCAGCAGAGACAAGTAGAATGATTTTGTAATGAACCCAAAATTTGATTTTTTTGAAATTGTGAGTCCTGAAGGAAAAGTTTTAAGTGTGTTTTTAGAATTTTGCAGGAAAATACCAAAACTATTATACACAGAAACAAAAACTGGAAATCTATAGCTGAGTAGGTGTGCTGTATCGCCTGTGCTGGGCTCCTCAGAGCAGTACAGGGGAGCAAATCAATTTACATGTAGAAAAGACAGGATGAAGAAATTCTGGCACTGATGTTATTGCGCAGCACTGCCTATCAAGCATGGAGAAGTCTTTTAAGAAGGCTGCCTGCATCCTCTGTGGCCACCTAAAGCTGCTGCCCATGTTTCTCAGGGGTAGACCAGGGATGATCGGCCCTGATTTGTACAGCCTTCCCAATTGGCTAAGAGAGAAACAGAAGCTCTGCTATTCTCCCCTTCACATGGAATCCCCCCTGCTTCACAGTTCCTACATTGAGTGGGATAAACTGGGCACCTAGGCCTAAAGGTTATCATCCTTATAATGCTCAACCACATTGTTTGGCTTTCATTGGTACAGATACCTCCAAATGGGTCACTCTTCCATTACACAGGGTCAATGGCTAGTTACTTTGGGCCTCTATTTTTAGCTATTTTTCTGCGTGTCATCTACTGTAAAAGAGTCAATGAGCAGGAGCCTCTGGGGACTCACTGGATTGTTTTCAGTCCCATTCAGATGATCAGGGAATTCCTTGGTGGCTGGTGACTGTTCTGAGATGGAGTGTGCTGCCTGTACTTCATCATTATGGTCCTTTTTGTATTCATCCCGACTATTCTGAGAATTTCCCTGTTTACCAAACCCTTTCTTGCTATACATGTGAGCCATGACTCATAAGTAAATGTTAAAGCATGTTCATTTATAAAAGAAAAGGAAAGAAGGCCAGCTGCGGTGGCTCACATCTATAATGCCAGCCCTTTGGGAGGCCGAGGGGGGTGGATCATGAGATCAAGAGATGGAGACCATCCTAGCCAACATGGTGAAACCCCGTCTCTACTAAAAATACAAAAAATTAGCTGGGCGTGGTGGCAGGCGCCTGTAGTCCCAGCTACTCGGGAGGCTGAGGCAGAAGAATTGCTTGAACCTGGGAGGCCGAGGTTGCAGTGAGCCAAGATCACGCCACTGCACTCCAGCCTGGTGACAGAGTGAGACTCGGTCTCAAAAAAAAAAAGAAAGAAAGAAAGAAAGAAAAGATGTAAACATCACAGAGTGTAGGCACACAAACCTAGATGGTATAGCCTACTACACACCTAGGCTATACGGCATAGCCTATTGCTCCTAGGCTACAAGCCTGTCTAGCATGTTACTGTATTGAATACTGCAGGCAATTATAAATAATAAGTATTTGTTTAGATACACATAGGAAAGGCACAATAAAAATATGTATAAAAGGTTTAAAGATGATACACTTGTATAGGGCACTTCCTGAATGAAGCTGGCAGGACCGGAAGTTGCTCTGGGCAAGTCAGTGAGTGAGTGGTGAGTGAATTGGAAGACCTAGGACATTACTGTACACCACTGTATACTTGATAAACACTGTACACTTAGGTTACACTAAATATATTTCTAAAAACTTTTTCTTCAATAAATTAACCTTAGCTTACTGTAATTTTTTACTCTATAAACTTTTAAACTTTTTGACTGATAACACTTAGCTTAAAACACAAATACATTGTATAGCTGTATAAAAACTTTTCCTATTTTCACTCTATAAGCTTTTACTATTTTTACTTTTTTTTTGTTTTTTGTGTTTTTCTTTTTTTTTTGAGACAGAGTCTTACTCTGCCACCCAGGCTGGAGGGCAGCACAATCAGGGCCCAATGCAGCCTCAACCTCCCAGGATCAAGCAATCCTCCTACCTCAGCCTCCTGAGTAGCTGGAACTACAGGTGTGTGCCACCATGCCTGGCTACTTTTTACATTTTTTGTAGAAATGGGGTCTCACCGTGTTCCCCTGGCTAGTCTCAAACTCCTGGGCTCAAGCAATCCACTCGCCTTGGCCTCCCAAAGTACTGGGATTACAGGCATGAGCCACCACACCTGGACCATTTTTTACTATTTTTAAATTTTTTTATTGTATATATTTTTACTGTCTAAACTTTTTTGTTAAAAATTAAGGCACAGCCACGCCCATTAATCTAGGTCTACACAGGGTCAGGATCACCAATATTGCTGTTTCCCTCCACATCTTGTCCCACTGGAAGGTCTTCAGGAACAATAACACACACTGTTTTAACACACACTAATTTAACAATGTTTTCTTCTGGAATGCTTCCCGAAGGACCTGCCTGAGGCTGTTTTACAGTTAACTTTTCGTATATTTTGTATATACTCTAAAATAATGATATATAGTATAACAAATACATAAACTGGTAAGAGTCATTTATGATCAATTATCACAGACTGTACATAATTGTGTATGCTACACTTTTATAAGATTGGCAGGGCGGGTTTGTTCACACCAACATCACCACAAACTCTTGAGTAATCCATGGCACTACAACAGCAACAACATCGCTAGGTGGAATTTTTCAGATGATAATCTTACATATATGCAGTCCTTTGTTGCCTGAAACGTCGTTCTGTGGCACATGGCTGTAGTTGCTTACTCTTGTTTTTCTGTGCAAGCTTGTAAGTTTTTAGAGGACAGTAAAGGTGGTTTGCCATTTTTGTATCCCCAGACTTTAACAGAACACCTGTCACACATATCTGATGGACAAATTGATTCTCTTTGATATAGCACCCAAGATTAACAAACTATAGAAATGATCCCTGAAAGTACAGTCTTCACTCAAGATTAATATTACCATCTTCAGCAAGAAATTACAGTTGTATTTTACCTTGAGCGACTAAAGCCTCTTGAATTAAGTGAGATCATAACAAGACATTATGCTTGATGGATTCTACCTATGTGAAGCTTTAAGAAAAAACTGCCTAATCTCTTTTTTTTTTTTAAGACAGAGTCTCCCTCTGTCACCCAGGTGCAGTGTCACGATTTTGGCTCACTCACTGCAACCTCCACCTCCTGGGTTGAAGCAATTCTCCTGCCTCAGCCTCCTGAGTAGCTGGGACTACAGGTGTGTGCCACCAGGCTGGGCTAATTTTTTTTTGTATTTTTAGTAGAAACGGGGTTTCACCATGTTAGCCAGGCTGGTCTGGAACTCCTGACCTCGGGCAATCTGCACACCTCGGCCTCCCAAAGTGCTGAGATTACAGGTGTGAGCCACTGCGCCCAGCAGCCTAATCTCTATTATAAGGGAAAAGCATGTGATTCATTTAGAGAAAATATTTATCTAAATTTAAGCTTATTGCTCTGCAATATTTTCTAGTGTTCTCAGTTGTACCACTCTCTAACTTTGGACAAATCACATGTCATCTCAGAACCTTGAGGTCCAAATGATAAAATGAAGAAAATGACACTTGATATCAGAGAGGATTTGTGCAGAAACATATGCTAATCATGAAGCATCGTTCTTAAGAAAATAGGTGTGAAACCAAGAAAATAAATGGCAACCATTTTTAACTTTCAGAGAAGTAGTAAAATAAATTCATAACACAATTACAGCATATTATTATGCAGGTTCTTCTAATGTTGCCATCTTTGTGGAAGGTAATTTCTCCAAGATAAAATTCTTGCAACATGTCACTACATCAATAAACAAGAACAGTTAGAAGAGAAACAAAGCACCTCTCTGAGTCCATCTTATAATGTCACGTCTAAAGTTTCATGAGGAAGGCATCAGGGCATTTCCCACATTATTATATATATTAAAAATAATTAAACTATAGTTGAACTTATCCTTAAAAACTAAATTCCACTTGCTTTGTTACTCATTACTCTCCATTCTCTCTGTAGACTATACTCACATTGCAAAGGACATAACTGAGACTGCTGGCAAACTTTGATATGGATGCTTTGATAGAAAATAATATTGTATCAATGTTAAATTTTCTGAATTTGACAACTGAATTAGAGTTATGAAGAGAATGTTCTTGTTCTTGGTGATACCTACTGAAGTATTTAGGGGAAAAGAGGCATGACATCTATAACTAATTCTCAAATAATGCATGCTGGGGGGAGATACATATTTCAAAGAGAAGTAATAAAGCAAACTTAGTGAAATGTTAACAAACCACGTAAACTCTCTGGCACTCTGTTTCTTCATCTGCTTGGAGATAAAAAGAGGGCTGAACTATTTTGGTTTTATTCACACTTTCATGAAATCCATTTAGGAGTTGAGGTCAGCATTAGAAAAGTGTTATTAATGAATCTGGATAAAGGATTTAAAAGCATTTAAAATCAAAACTAAAATAAACTAATACCATATTTATATAACACCAAGGCACTCTAAGCATGAAAAGATAATGGTTAACTACATGATACCTGTATACTTCCTCTCCAAACTAATTGAGTTATATGCTTACAAGAGTCAATTTGCATTTGTACTCCAAAGTATTTATGTCTATTATACTTATAGAATCTATTTAAATATGTAAATAGATTTCTAATGAAATACAAATAGAAAGTTATTTTCTATGAAAACTAAGTTGATTAACATGAACAACAAATAAAAATTACTGTAGAACTAGGCATAGGTAAGGCAAATCTGTAAAACTTTGGAGAAAAAATTGTACAAAAATCTAGACTGACTGGGCATTCAAACTGCTTGAAAGGTGTCTTTAACTTCTTGTTCCACTTTGAAGAAAATGAAACTGGAAACTGTAAACAATGCAAATTGTAACAAAGACAAATTGTTCCAACAAGCAAACTCATGCTCAGATAAAAGGTCTTGGGCCTACTACCAAGACTGGTGAGTGAACATATAATTATACATTTGAGTCAAAATAAAATGACTAAAGTATATATTTGCCATTTTAAAATATGTACCACTATAACTGACTTTTTAAATTAACTGATCAATTGGTCCCAATTTTAGGGGAAGAGAGTGCCTCTACTATTGTTTTAATTGAAAAAGTACTATACATGGTAAAGATATTCGAATGGTACAAAACACTACACATCAAGAAAGTTTCCCTTCTGTATTAGTCTTCTAGGGCTGCTATAATGAAATAATATGGACTAGGTGGCTTAATTACAGAAATTTATTTTCTCACAGTACTAGAGGCTAAAAGTCCAGGATCAAGGGGCCATCAGGCTTGGTTTACGGTGTGGCCTCTCTTTCTGGACTGCAAATGGCCATCTTCTGTGTTCTCATATGGCCTATTCTCTGTGCCCATGCACTCAGACACTAGCTCCATAGGATTAGGGTTTTGCCCTTCTGACTTCATTTAACCTTAATTATTGTCCTAAAGGCCCTATCTCCAAATCTAGTCACAGTGGAAGTTAGGACTTCAACATATGAATTTTGAGGGGATATAATTCAGTCTGTAATACTTTCCATGCCAGAATCACCGTCCTACTGATGTGTGTGTGTGTGTGATGCTCAAATGGAAGTAGAGTCTACACATTATTTTGCACCTTACTTTTCTCACCTTATAGCATCATACAGGTATTCCATGTGAGCACATATAGATCTATCTAGTTTATTTTAATGGCTACATACTATTCTATTGAATGGCTACATTATGACTTATTTCAGCGATTTCCTATTGCTGAACAATTAAGAGGTTTTTTTTCACTCTATTACAAAAATCCTGTAACAGATATTTTTATAGAATACTTTTATATACAACCTGTATACCCATGGGATAAATTTTAGAAGTAAAATTGTTAGATCAAAAAGAACTTCATATAAAGTTTTGATACATATAATTACCGTGAACTTTTAAAAAAATGCACCAATTTTTATACTCCTACTAAGTGTTTAAGAATGCTTGCTCCTCCCACCCTGCTCTCATACTACACACACACACACACACCCAATACTGTAGTATCAATTTTTTTATTTTTGTCATTGAGCTGACACAAAGGACCAAACTGTCAAATCAGAGATTTTACTCAGTATCAAGCTTTACTAATAATTTCAAGAACACCAGTAATTCCCAGGTCCTTTCTTCTTGCTTTGGATGCATCCTGGCCCAGGACAGATGTGGTTTCTAAATCAAGAATATAGTCATCCCACTTACACAGAAGGAGCCAACTCAGTTACAAAACACTTCCATTTTACGCTAAGTTATATAACTTCCGCGGTATTTTCCAGTTAATCGTACCCCTGAAATCCACACTGATTCTGTTTCGTTTTGTGAGAGGGAGTCTCGATCTGTCTACCAGGCTGGAGTGCGGTGGCGCGCTCTCTGCTCACTGCAACCTCTGCCTCTCCGGTGCAAGCGAGTCTCCTGCCTCAGCCTCCTGAGCAGATGGGATTACAAGTGTATGCCCCCACACCTAGCCAATTTTTGTATTTTTGGTAGAGATGGGGTTGTACCATGTTGGCCAGGCTGGTAAGTCCTGACCTCAAGTGATCCGCCTGCCTCAGCTTCCCAAAGTGCTGGGATTACCAGATCGATTCTTAATGTGTTTACCATAAACAATCCCAGGACAATCCGGGACATCTTGATAGAGGAATTCCATAAATATGGACTCTTCAGCTAGCAAATACCACTGGTCTGTTTGCCAGGAGGTCTGTAATTACCATATTTATAAAAATTACACGCTCGCTTGCTTGCTTTCCTGAGAGTATTTCCCTACGAGAGGAGAGACTGGATTGAAGATCTTCTGCTCAACTCCTTTCTCAGTCACTGATAGAGGAAAAATGGTATTTCCTTGTTTACTTTTACATTTTAAGTAATGTTGAACATTTAGCAATTAAATATTGAAAGCTAGAAGGGAGATGAATCAAGAAGCAATTACCTTAGCAGACTGGAAAAGTAGGAATTCCAAGCAGGCCATGAAGCAACCTGATGCACACAGTGAAACCCTGCACAAGGCTCAGGAATTGGAAGCACCGGGTAAAGCTGAAGAGAGCATGATGTGAGCTAGAAATAAAGGGGGAATGGTAGAAAGTCTGTTTAAGAATGAATCAGATGCTCAGATTCCCTTTGTTATCCCATCAAAAGCCCAGAGATTTAGTCTTGGGAGAATAAGCAAAACGCTGATTCTCTAGCTCGGAGGACAGCAGGCACTCTTAAGGATGAAGGTGTCATGTTGCAAAAGGGGAAAAGAAAATTAGAGGACTAACATCTGAATAACTGAAGCTCACTAAAAAGAAAATGGAGGAAATAAGTAACTCAAGTTGCTTATTGAGTTACTTATTTAGAGTTCTGATTCTAAGCTCAGTGCTACTTATAATCTTTTAGGCTTACTGGTATATTTGATTCATGTTAACTGTAAAATGACATTTTCTAAGTTTCGCAAATATTGGGGATAGTCAAAGGGACTTTGTTCAGGTGATTAAAGGGTGGGACTTGCATTACCCCTCTCCTAAGTGACCATTCCAAAATGACTGGTGGGACTAAAGAATTATGGTTAAAAAACAAAGAAACCCAAAGAAAGGATTATCCATAAAAGCTATGCAATGACGTGCTGTTGGAGCTCACTGACCACACCTTAAGTTGTCTATGCACAAGAGACGAGGCTATAACTAGCTAAAGCTCCAACTGGCTAAGGCACCAAAGCCAGAAAATATCCTATAACATGCAAATATATAGACATAAAATCAACTGTAAATGCTGGGCACAGCTGCTTGTGCCTGTAATTCCAACTACTTGGGAGGCAGAGGCAGGAAGATCACTTTAGACCAGGAGTTCACAGCTGCTGTGAGGTATAATTGTGTCACCGCACTCCAGCCTGGGAGAAGAAGTGATAACTCGTCTCAAAAGAAAAAATCAGCTGTAAAAGGAAAAATGATGTCTGGGTTACCTGTGGAGTCTGGGGGTAGTCCCACTATCACGCCTAGACAGAGATATAAACCATGAGAGGTTTCTAAGTGGGCCGTTTCAGTCCAAGTCAGCAACTTGGCATAAACATAGGCAACTGAGTTTAGCATCAAGCTTTCAGAACCTTCAACTGACAACCCAACGGCTGTTTCTAAATCTCAGACCATTTAAATCAGAATCTAGGTAACACGTGGACACCTACGCAGTTTTAAAAGCTTTCCAAGTGATTCAACTCCAAGTGAATCAGAGTTGAGCATCATTGCCTTAGTCATGGCATTTTTCAAATTCGTTAGTACAGTTTTACATTTAAAAAAAAATCAAAAGAAGAGCAACTTTTTGGTGTCTATTCTTTCCTTTCCTTTAGTGTCCTCAGGTCTTTCCTCCTGCTGTTTTGTCTACTCTTGTTCTTGAACACCCCCTCTTATTTTTATATCTTTAGAAAGTGCCTGGCAAAGCATTTCAGACAGTTAAAATACTCTATCAACAAAGGACCCATAGACACTGTATTCATTTTAAAAGATGTGTAGTGAATATGATTCAATGAGTAAAATAATCCAGCTGGGGCGTGGGAGGAATGGATAATAAAACAAATAAGAGAACGGAAAAACAAAATTAGGAATTGTTTTTGGTAGCCAGCTACAGCGGGCTTCGAGATCTAAACATGATACCAAATTGGGCGGAGGGGGAGGGAGTGAGGGAGGAATGGGCAGAGTGGCGGAATGGCCTGGCAAGGGCGATTTCCCTGAAACCTGAAGGCTTTCAGGTTACAACTAAGGGATACCAGGAAAAGAACACCGAGCCCTCGTTCCGTATCTATCTAAACTAGCTGTGTAACTTTAAGTCAGTCTCCTCTCTGAACCAGATATTCCACCTATCTAAAGGGAGGAGCCTGGCCTAGGAACCCCTAACATCTCTTTCCAAGTGTAGCTAATTCTGTAAACAAGGGATCGAACAGATCTCCTTTCTTCAGAAAAGGCCCCAGACGAACCCGAAGCAGGTCCACCGGATCGCGACCGGAACCTGGAGAACCGGTGGTCGTTCCTCCCCTAAAGCACAGCATAACCTTGGAAAGCTGCACCTAAACTGCGTGTGGGTCCGGGCTCTTTTAGGCGAAGCGCGTTCGGCGGAATCGACTTCCTCGACTATCTCCGTGCCCTGGACCCGCCCTCTCCGCCTGGCGCCAGGCCGCCGAGCGCCGATCGGCTCGATGAGCGGAGGCGCTTCTGCGGCGCTGCGGCCGACGCCGGGTCTGCATCCACTGTCTCCCCCTCCCAGCTTTTCACCTCGGCTTCCCACTCCTTCCCCCGCCCGCCCAGCACCGCCCGCCCAGCACCGCCAGCCCGGGAGAGCTGCCGGGAGTTCCCCGGGAGCCTCAGGTACTGGCGCTGGCCTGTTCCCAGCGGGAGGGGCTGGTGTGAGGAGGAAGGAAACGAAGAAGACGCCCTGCCTCGCCGCCCCCCGACGTCCTAGTCGGGCTGGTCGGCCGGCCTCCGGCATCTAGGAAGGGACCCCGGAGTGGGAAAAGGCTGGGGCCCGGGGTGTCGTGAGGAAGGAAGACGAGGACAGGGGTGTGCGGACGGGGAGCAGTTGAGGAAGAGAAGACTTGGAATGGAAGGGAACTCTGGGTGATGGGAAGAAAACAGTGCCATGGATGGGGAAGGTTTGTTAAGAGTGGGATGCAGTCAGGAATGCCAGGGGGTACCGTGGGGCAGGAAGGGCCAGTGTTAGGAGCAGATATATCCAGGGACGTGGCCTGGTGCGACAGATTGGGTGTGGGGGGTGAACGGAGCTGCCTGGAATTGTGTATTTAAAGGGCTCAGGAGAAAGAGCGCCAACCCTGCTGTGTTTATAATGACCGGAAGGTGGGGGTGAATCGTTACACTTGACAGGTTTTGCAAATGACATCTCCGGTTTGTGTCCATCCAAGTCACTTTATTTCTGTGAAACTGCATCAAGCAAGACGGCTGATGACAGACAAGGAAGACGAGTCAGAAAGGGAATGGAGGCTGGGAAAAGGAGAGCCTCTGCCCAGATTCAAAGCTGTTGACTAGATAACGTACTACTTACAAAAATGCATACATAGACATTTAAGTATATGCCGATGTATAAGAAGCATACGGTGATGTGACTTTTTTAAGTGAATTTTATAGTGGTGGTCTATCCTCAATGTGGAAGTACATGATAGCTCTCTTATTTACATGTATACCTAGTCACAAACACCTGAATTCACATGTCTTTTTTGTAGGAGAATCTTAGGCGGACGATATCCTTGTCTACTTTCTGAGCATGATTCATTTCTACTAGTTGTTTGATACACATGTCATCAGTTACTAATAATCACCAGTTGCAAATAACGTCAAAGTTCATCAACGTAGCTAATTAATCTGCCTACTGCTTTGCTGATGGGCTTTCTATTTGTTGCACATGGTTTCCTGGGATTAAGAGACCTGAATATGGGGTTTGCTCCTCCTTAAGATTGTAGTTTTACCCTATGTCTCATAAAGGCATTATATAAGTCAGCCTGTTGTTTGCTTTGAGATGTTGAGGGAGCCTCTTTGCAGGGGTTAAAATCTAAATACAGATATAGTTAAAAGCACAAGTTCTTCAGTAATTTGCCTTGTCATCTGTTTTTCCATGCATTCTGTTACATTTCTGCAAGAATTAAGTATTCTGAAATCAAAGTATGAGGAATAAAAGGGCCAGATGTATGTGACAGAAATATTGTGGAACCAAGAACTCAAGAGCTGTTAGGCAGCAAGAGTTTGGTTTTTGTTACAAGTGAATAATTTCTGATTTGGAAGCATTTCTTACCAAAGAAAAGTGTTTGTGTCCGTTTGTTTTGACAAGCAGCTGACTTAAAATATTACTTTTATTTGGTTCGTGAAACATGATTCTGGGATTATTCTTTTTTAAGTGTATATCATTAACCAACAAACTGATATCTAACTATACCTAATTTAAAGGGCTGTGTTTCTTCTTGTGGAGAAGGAAACAGGACTATTGGGTTGTTACCAGGAAGTGGGTCTTTCTAGAACAGAATTCTGTAAACCTGATGAGCAACTAATTGAAAAAAACAGTTAAAACTGATAATGCCCAGCCATTGATTAATTTAGGCCTGTATCTCTGCTGTTTCAATGAGTGTAGTGACTAACGTTATCGTTACTAAACTTTAGTTTTCTCCTAGTTTCTTGGTGCCTACTTCAAAGAAGGGTCATAAAGAGTAAAAGAAAATGCATGCATATCACTGAGCACAGTGCCTAGCACACAGTATAACATTATTTCTGAGCTATCCTGAATTGCTGAGTATTCATCTACCATCTAGTCAAAAATACTGAAAATTCATTATTTGCATAGAACAACTTTTTCTCAAAAAAAAATTTTTAATATGTTGCATACACAAGCATTTTCCTGGAAAGTCACAATGCATATTAGCATATAACAGGATGTGAGTCATTCTGTAGCAAAGAAAACTAGTTTTGTTTAATCCAGTTGTTTTGATAGAAGAAAAATTGAGTTTCTCCTATTCTCTCTCAACACAGAATACTCCTGTGACCCCAAAAAGACTTCTCCTCACAAGCAAGCAGGCAGTTCTGCAGCAGGTTCTCCAGCTGGGTGTTCTCTCATTCAATTCTGATACTGTATACCTAGAGATAGCATCAGATCGGGCAGGTTGAGGGCTTAAGCCTACAAGATTCCCCCCTTCAGGTGCCAGTCACAAGTTCCAGGTTGTTTTACCTGTGCTTTCAACTGACTGGCTATAAATCATAGTTCTCTTCCTTGTGTTCCATTTATTTGCTAGAGTGGCTCACAGAATTCAGAGAAACACTTTGTTTACTGGTTTATTATAAAGGATAGAGATCAACAGCCAGATGGAAGAGGTGCATAGGGCAAGGGGTACAGAGCTTCTGTGCCCTCTCCAGGTGTGCCACCGTCCAGGAACCCTCTACTTGTTCAGCTTTCGGGAAGCTCTCTGAACCCTGTCCTTTTTGGGTTCTATGGAGTCTTCATTAGTAGGCATGATTGATTACATCATTGGCCATTGGAAATCAGTTCAACCTGGAGCCCTCCTCCCCTCCCAGGAAGCTAGGGGGTGGGGCTGAAAAGTCACAGTCTTATAATCATACCTAGGTTTTTCTGTGACCAGCCTCCATCTTGAATCTATGTGGGGGCTAAGCTACCAGGCATCTTACTAGCATACACAAGACACATCACTGCAGGGATTCCAAGGATATGTCAGGAAATGGGGATTAAAACCAAATATATATATATATATTTTATAAATCACAATATCACACAGTACTTACCAAACTTACCCCTTTTTATGGAGTACCAATGGGACATTATAGTTTGCAGAATATTTTTGCATGTATTATCCAATTTGACCATCCCAACTCTGCCGAAGCCTGAAAATCACTATTTTACACATGAGGAAACTGAATCATTGTTTAAGCAGCCAACTAAAAGTGAGAGAAATAGACATGTTATCCTGTCTTCTGACTCCAAATTTAAATTGTAAAGCATTTAATGTCTCAGTGAGACATCTTCCCTGTACTGTCTGCTCTTTCATTTTATAAAAATCTATCTTAAGTCACTCATATCCTACACATGTTCTCTTAGGGCAATTACATCCATTTTCTCATAGTTTTAACTATTTCTTATGTGTTGAGGTCTAGCATGGAGGCCCCATTCACTGGAATGGAACAAGTGAGAGGGGAGGAACTGAAGTCAGAAAAATGAGGGAGTCACCATTATACGGGGTCTTGTGTATATTGTTTTAAGTACTTTAGCTTATACCCCAAAGTCTCAAATCTGATGAAATTTATTTTCTCTTTAAGGCAGTCATTATCCTGTTGAGAAGTAGAAAATACTTCACAAGTAAAAAATATGCCTCCCAAGTTTAAGCGCCACCTCAATGATGATGATGTCACGGGTTCTGTGAAAAGTGAAAGGGTAAGTTCAGAATCTTAAGCTTTAAAAACAAAAGATTCAAAATATGTTTTCATTCCCTTTGTAAATAATAGAAAAAAACCATCCGGGCACGGTTGCTCATGCCTGCAGTCGCAGCACTTGGGACGCTGCAGCAGAATAGCTCGAGCCCGGAAGTTCAAGACCATCTTGGACAACCTAGGGAGACCCTGTCTCTACAAATATTTTTTTAAAAATTAGTGAGGCATGGTAGCACGCGCCTGTGGTTCCAGCTATTTGGGAGGCTAAGGCAGGAGGATCACCTGAGCCTGAGAGATAAAGGCTGTGGTGAACTGTGATCTGCACTCCAACCTGAGCAACAGAGCAAGACCCTGTCTCAAAAATTAATTAATTAATTAATAATAGGAAAATCAAAAGTTTATGACTATATTCTAATCCTAATTGTTTTCTTCATAGTAAATGTATTTAAAAACATGTTACTTAGATTGGTGACAACTGAATCCTACTTCTATTATTGATCAAATCATTATTCTCATAGCTTCTTTCTAGTTTTTGAAAGGGAGTTTTATACAAATACACAATATCTTTTTAAGAACTTTGAAGCTGAATATATTTGGAATTTTTCAGATTTTAGAAAGTTAAGAACATATTATGTAACAGCATTTTTGGGGCCTGGACCAGTGCCTCCAAAAATATTAGTATTTCTCAGTGAAGTGTATATTTAGTTATACCTAACTAATGTAAATAAAGTGTGTAAATAAACTAGCTAACATCAGTTCAGGTCAGAGTTTCCTCCAAAACCTTTTGATTTTCAGAAGCTTTTAGATTTTGGAATTCCAAATAAAGGTCTCCAGACCTGTAATTATCTTAGGTTCCAGAGTATCTTTCATATAATGCTTCAATTTCTAGTTTATTCCAGAACATTCTGTGCAAAGATACATGAACCTAGAAATTATGCAGCATTTTGAAAGACATTTTATATGAATGTTGTAGGCAGATTACTTTTAGAATAAATAATACATATTTATTGGGGGAAATAATTCACATTCTTATTTTTTTAATGCACCATTCTGAAGCCCTCCTTCCCTTCCTTCTTGCCTTGATTCATTCGACAAATATATATTGACCGCCTACTGTGTGCTAGGCACTGGGCTAAAAATTGGATGACATAATCTGTGCCTTTGCAAAGCTTTTAGTCTGCTTTGTTTTACATGCTCTTTTTGGACAACCTCAGAACTTCATATTATCCACTCTGTCCACCATCTTATGACTTTTAGCCCTAAGTTTATTTTAGTACAACACAGGAAACGTTTTCTTCCCCTTAATCTAACCCTTTGTACAGCTTTTTGGGTTTTGTGTGTTTTTGATGGTTTGTTTTTATTTTTTGAGACCAGGGTCTCACTCTGTCGTTGAGGCTGAAGTGCAGTGGTGCTATCACGGCTCACTGCAGCCTCCACCTTTTGGGCTGAAGCTATCCTCCCACCATAGCCTCCTGAGTAGCAAGGACTACAGGTGCATGATACCACACCCGGCTAGTTTTTGTTTTTCTTATAGAGATGGGGTCTCGCCGTGTTGCTCACGCTGGTCTCCAATTCCTCAGCTCAAGTGATCCATCTGCCTTGGCCTCCCAAAGTGCTGGAAAGTGCTGGGATTACAGACATTTGACACTGTTCTCAGCCTGTTTTTTTTTTTTTTTTTTTTATGGGGAATAGAATCCACCAATAGACTAATTGTTAGCAAGCTTTAAAAAATAAACTTTAAGGAGTCACCAATGATTTCCATGTTACCAAATCCAATTATTCCTTCTTTGCCATAATTTCAACTGCTTACCAGCATTTGGTGCAGTTTCAACAATTTTGGTCACCTGTCTTTGCCTCCACGCCATGGTGAAACTCTTAGTGTCTGCTTGAGCTATTTCCCCATGCAAGGAATTGAGAAATGCCTTGAGGAAATAAACCAATCTGGGTGAACTGGGAAGGCTGTGGCAGAGAGAAGGCAGAGAATGATCAGGGATTGAGAAATCACTCACAGGGATAAGCCAGGGTCTCTTTCTTTATGTAATATCTTTCAAGATAAACCTCCAAGAAAAAGTGATTCAGAAAATTTGACATACCTGTGCTGGAATTCCATACACTGAAGAATTACTATCAAAAGCATGTCTTGGCCAGGCATGGTGGCTTACGCCTGTAATCCCAACACTTTGGGAGGCCGAGGCAGGCAGATCACGAGGTCAGGAGTTGGAGACCAGTCTGGCCAACATGGTGAAACCCGTCTCTACCAAAAATACAAAAATTAGTTGGGTGCAGTGGTGCACACCTATAATCCTAGCTACCCAGGAGGCTGAGGCAGGAGAATCGCTTGAATCTGGGAGGCAGAGGTTGCACTGAGCTGAGATTGTGCCATTGCACTTCAGCCTGGGTGACAGAGTGAAATTCCATCTCAAAAAGGGAAAAAAAAAAGCATGTCTTTACAAAGCAGAAGGTTTGGAGAAATACTAAACCCGTTCAGAGAATAAATGTCAGTTTGTTAAAGTAAATGATACCAATTGTGAACCTATAAAGGAATTCAGTGTAAAACAACACAGACTTGATGTGCATTCAGTACAAGCTGACTGAAAGCTCCTGATGAATATTCAGTGATCAGCGTGCACAAAATATGTTGAAATATTTTTTAAATCATCGGTTAGAATAATCTGAGCCTCTTTCTTATTGTCCCAAGGAAATTTTTAGTCACTTACCCAGAGATGCTTGCAAAGCATTAATATCCTGGAAGATGATCAATAAATGCTGACAGTTGATTGACTGATATCTGAGATATGTCAGGTAAATACCTCAGTCCTGGACAGAGAGCCTCTAAGTCACATCTAACTTTGTGTAAGATGAAGACTGAAGTATGGAAATGTATGCAGTAAAATCACCTCTCGGAACTTGTTTGTAATTCATACAATCTATGTCAATTTTGAAAAATGTATGTAAAGCAGAGAAAGTTGTAGCCAAATTCAATGTATAGTATGTTCAAGTTTCAAATTTTTATGTAATCAAATATGTTAATCTTTTTCTTTCAGATTTCTGGAGTTATGTGTTTTTTAGGAATAACTTACCCATCTTAAAAGTTAAATATTTATTTTATATATTTTCAATCTTTGTGATTTCATAACAAAATATATCTAAAGTCCCATTTTCCTTTAAGTACTGCTGTGGCCGTACTCTGCAGATTTTGACCTGTGATCTTCCCAGTGTCTTTCATTTCAAAATAATCTAATTTTATTTACATTTTAACATAAGAGTTCATGAGAAGAGTGTTTTTTGTTTTTTGTGAGTTTTTTTGCTACAGGGTCTCGTTTTGTCACCCAAGTTGGAGTGCAGTGGCATGATCATAGCTCACTGTAACCTCAAATTCCTGGGCTCAAAAGATCCTCCCAGCTCAGCCTACTGAATAGCTAGGACTACAGGCATGAGCCACCATGCCTGGCTAATTTTTTTTTTTTTTCATAGAGACACGGTCTTGCCATGTTGCCCATGCTGGTCTTGAACTCCTGGGCTCAAGCAGTCCCCCTACTTTGGCCTCCCAGAGTGCTGGGATTATAGGTGTGAGCCACTGCACCCAGCTGAGAAGAGTATTTTTAAACTTCCTTTTTCCATCGCATTATGGTCAGAGAATATGACTTGCGTAATTTCTATTTTTTGGATTTTATTAAATGTCATTTATGGCTTACCCATAAAGGAAAATAAAATAAGATTTGCTGTTTAGTTTCAAAGTTCTAGTTTTTTTTTGTATTTGGCCTCTCCATCTCTGAAGGTTATGTTAAATCCTTCCTATGATTTTGATGTAACTGTTACTTGTTAGCTGGAATATTACTCAAGAAATACTTATTTAAAAAATGACCTAATGCATTTCCTTGAATATTAATTGGTTTTAAACATTTCATGTGGTCATTGGCCATTTCTTCTATTGGGTATTATCTATTTCTATTCTTTGTTCTTCTATAATGTCTCTTTTTCTTACTAGCTTTCTCATAATTTGCACAGCTTTTGTTTTAGATATTTTAAGCTATATTATTAGGTATTTAAACATTCGTTGCTATTAAATCTTCTTGATGGATTGTACATTTTATTATTGTAAAATCATCTTATTTGATTGTTTAATACTTTGTCCTAAAATTCCTCTTTATATTGCTAACTGTAACAGTCTTTTTGTTAGAATTTGCTGATGTATGTTTTCTACCCCTGCTTTTCCCCATCCTTTATTCGATATTTGTTTTAGATGAATTTCTTGCAAACAGATATTGGCTAGAATTTTTTTGAACCCTGATTACATATAGTTTTTGTTATTAAATGGGGACATTCAAACTAGTCACATTTATTGTGAATAACTAATACACTCGGACTTTTTCTGTGCCAGCCAGCTAGTCCTGCAGCAGTGAATGCTCTTCACCCTAATCTTTGGCTGACTCTTTGTTATTTGGATCTCAGCTTAAATTTCACCTCTTCAGAGTGATTTTTTATGACAGCCTAATCTCACATAGTCACCCCATCACTTTCTGTCCCATCACTGTTTTAATTCTCTGCGTAGCATTTGTCGCAATCTTGTTTTTCTGTGAGAGCTCAGACTTTTTGTTCAAAACCAGTGCTTAGTGCTTAAAACAGTGCACATAGAAGCACGTAAAAGATGCCCAAAAATACTTGTTAAATGAATATTGAATACATCCTTCTTTCATTTTTTTCACTCTTTAGTATATGTCATATATTATACGTAGATATAGTGATATTCATTGTATTTCTTATATTTTCCTTTTCCCGTATGCCTTTTATGCTAGATTCTCTTATGCCTTCCCTTATGCTAGATTGATTATTTTCACTCATCTTCCTCCTTGCCCCCAGAACCACCATATCTAAACCACAGTTTAGATATTTTACTCCCTTCCGCCTCCTTCCCTCTCTCTTTTGTTACTAACTTTATATTTTAATGGTAGTATTAATCTGTGTTCTCTGTCAACATACCAAAAACTAAGCCCCTTCCCTTGTTTTACTTTTTAATTCTAGTCCTGTTCCCACTTCCTCCATTCCACTCCTCGTCAAGATGACCATATTGGCAATGCTTTCACTTCCTCACTTCACTCTCCCACTCCCAGCTTCTGGGCTTTGTTGGAAAAGTTTTAGATTCTTTTTAAGCTTTTCTGTATAATACGTATTTTTTTCAAAAGCTTTAACTTATTGTTTACAGTCACATTATCATCAACTATTTAGATTTGGCCACACATTGTATTAGATTCGTTGATCGCATCATCCATCTCAGTCTTAAGGTCTTTGTTTTGATTTCATTTTCTTTTTGGCTGCTGTAATTCCTTGAGGAATTTCCTCAGAAAAAGTACATGGGTAGTGTATTAATTTCCCATTGCTGCTGCTACAAATTACCACAGACTTGAAACAACACAAATTTATTGTCTTATGGTTCTGGTGACCAGAGGTCTAAAATGAGCTTATGGGGCTAAAATCAAGGTGCCAGTAGGGCTGTGTTCTTTCTGGAGGCTTTAGGGAAGAAACTGTTCTTTTGCTTTTCCTAGCTCCTAGAGGCTGTTTACCTTTTTAGGCTCATGCCCCTTCCTGTGTCTTCAAAACCATCAGTGTAATGTCTGTCTGTCTGTCTGTCTGTCTGTCTCTCTCTCTCTCTCTCTTCTCTGCATTGGGCCCATATGAATAATTCATAATGATCTTTTCTTCTCAAGATCCGTAATCACATCTGCAAAGTCCCTTTTACCATTCAAGGTAACACATTCACAGGTTTTGGTGATTATATTAGCCAGGCGTGGTGGCACGCACCTGTAGTCCCAGCTACTTGGGAGGCTAAAGCAGGAGAATCGCTTGAACCCGGGAGGTGGAGGTTGCAGTGAGCCGAGATTGCACCACTGCACTCCAGCCTATGCGACAGAGCAAGACTCCATCTCAAACAAAACAAAACAAAAAAACAGGTTTTCGTAATTAGGAAATGAACATATTTGGGAGCTATTATGCCGCCTACAACAAGTGGTACAGTTTGAGCATCCCTAATCTGAAAATCCAAAATGCTCCCAAATCTGAAACTTTTTAAGTACCAGCATGATGCCACAATGGAAAATTCCACACCTGACCTTATGTGATGGGTTGCAGTCAAAACGCAGTCAAAATTTTGTTTCATGCACAAAGGTATTAAAAAATATTGTGTAAAATTACCCTTAGGCCATGTATATAAGGTGTATTTGAAACTGAAGCATGATGAATTTTGTGTTGAGACTTCGGTCCCATCCCCAAGATGTTTCCTTATATATATGCAAATATTCTAAAATCCAAAATTTGAAATACTTCTTGTCCCAAGCATTTAGGATGAGGGCTCCTTGTATACTATTTGAGCTCTTGTGTGTCTGAAAAGGTCTGGGTTTTACTCTTTTTTAGCCACCTTTTGGACTTTATACCCACCCCTTTTGGGGAGAAGGTGAGACTGTCCTCATTTTAAGGAAAATTGTTGTATGTTGTAAAAGTAAGGTTGCTTTTGTTTGGAAGTTCAGATTTGTTTAGGGGACTGTTTGTGGGTAGAGTAGCTAAAAAGTAGAACATGACCATTTTTAAGCCCTTGTCCTCAGCTCCAAACTATCCCTCTGTACTCTTCTCTGATGCTGCAATTGGAATCCACAAATTATATTTCTTCTTTCCACCTGGCTCCCTAAGTTCTGCCAATAGACAGACACTGGCAGTCAGAAGGAAGGAGAGGGGACTTGCTCCCTCCTGACTACCTGCAGTTCCTCACTCCCATACCAGCTTCAGTGACCTTTCTACCTTTTTTAGTCAGTTATAGGATTCTATAATTATGAGCATTTTCTTTGCAAAGTCTATAAATGTTGTCCCAAATCTTCTAGCTTCCAGTGAAGGATATGTAATTACTTTTCCCTCTTTATGGACACTTGGAGTTAAGATATTTCACTAGTATAGGACTTATTTCATTACTCCTCTGTGGCATTTTGTAAGCCCTCTGAATCTGAAAACTCAAGTCTTTTTGTTTTTTTGACAGAGAAATCTTTTGGAAGATGATTCAGATGAAGAAGAGGACTTTTTTCTGTAAGTCTTTTTTACAGCTTTATTAGGGTGTAATTGACATATAATACATGCATATATCTAAAGTATACTGTATACATTTTGACAGACATACAGTAGTCTCCCTTATACATGAGAGATGCATTCCAAGATCCCCCAGTGGATATGTGAAAACACAGAGTAGCAAACCATATATATATATGTATGTGTATATATACATACATATATGTTTTATATATATATGTGTGTGTGTATGTATACACACACATATATATGTTTTTTCCCTATACATACATACCTATCATAAAGTTTAATTTATAAATTAGGCACTGTAAGAGATTAACAGCAAAAGCTAATAATAGAACACTTATAACAATATACTATAATAAAACTTTTGTACACATGGTCTCTGTCTCTCTCTTAAAATATCATCCTATGCTCACCTTTCTTCTTGTGATGATGTGAGATAAAATGCGTACATGATAAGATGAAGTGAGGTGAAGGATATAGACATTATGACATAACATTAGGTACTGTTGACCTCTGATGATATGTCAGAAGAATCATCATCTATTTAGGTGGTCTTGGATCATGAAGCCAAGAAGATGTTGATAACTAAAGGGATGAGTAGCATATACAATGTGGATATGCAGGACAAAGGGGTGATTCACATTTCAGGTGGGACAAAGCAGGGCAACTTGAGGTTTCATCATGCTACTCAGAATGGTGCACAATTTAAAACTTAAAAATTGTTTATTTCTGGAATTTTCCATTTAATATTTTCAGACTGCAGTTGACCATGGGTAACTGAAACTGTGGAAAGCAAAACCATGGGTGAGGGAGAGCTTACTGTACTATATACCTGTGACATCATCACCAAAATCAAATAATGAACCATCTGTTGCCCTGCAGATTTCCTCATAACCCTTGGTAATCCATTGCTGTCGCAGTCCCTAGGCAACCAGTGCTCTGCTTTCTGTCACCGTAGTTTGTATTTTCTAAAATTTTTTATAAATGAAATCATGTAGTATGCCCCCTTTTTAAAACCTGGCTTTATTCAGCATGGTTTTTGAGATTCATCCATGTGTTAATAGTTGGGTTTTTTGGCCGGGCGCGGTGGCTCAAGCCTGTAATCCCAGCACTTTGGGAGGCCGAGACGGGCGGATCACGAGGTCAGGAGTTCGAGACCATCCTGGCTAACACGGTGAAACCCCGTCTCTACTAAAAAATACAAAAAACTAGCCGGGCGAGGTGGTGGGCGCCTGTAGTCCCGGCTACTCGGGAGGCTGAGGCAGGAGAATGGCGTAAAAACCCGGGAGGCGGAGCTTGCAGTGAGCTGAGATCCGGCCACTGCATTCCACCCTGGGCGACATAGCGAGACTCCGTCTCAAAAAAAAAAAAAAAAAAAAAAAGTTGGGTTTTTAATTTTCTGAGTAGTATTCCATTGTATGATGCTGCGGTTTGTTTATGCAGTCACTTGTGTGTGGATTTTTGGGTTGTTTCTACTTTTTGGCTTTTACATATAAAGCTGTTAACAAACATTTGTGTGCAGGTTTTTGTGTGGATATATGCTATTATTTCTCTTGGAAATAAAAATACCTAGGAGTAGAATGGCTGGTGTAAGTTTACAATTGTTTTCCAAAGTGGTTGTACCATATTATATTGTCACCAGCATTGTATGAGAATTCCAGTTGCTCCATATCCTCATCAACACTACGTATGGTCAGTCTTCTTCAGTCTTTTTCGTTCTAGCCATTCTAGTGGGTGTGTAATGGTATCTTGTTGTGGTTTTAATTTGCATTTCCTTAATGATATATGATGTTGAATATGTTAGTGTGCTTATTTTTCACCCTCATACCTTCTTTGGTGAAGTATGTGTTCAAATCTTGCCCATTTTAAACTTTTTCTCATTGAGTTGTGTTTTTTTGCTTTTTATTTTTATTTTATTTATTATTATTTTTTTGAGGCAAGGTATTACTCTTGCTCAGGTTGGTGGAGTGTCGTGGCGCAGTCTTGGCTCACCGCAGCTTCAAACTCCTGGACTCAAATGATTTTCTCGCCTCAGCCTCCCAAGTAGCTGGGACTATGGGTATGTGCCATCACACCCGACTAATTATTATATTTATTTATATTTTGCAGAGATTAGGTCTCACTTTGTTTCCCAGGCTGGTCTCAAACTCCTGGCCTCAATTGATCCTCCCACCTCAGCCTCCTAAAGTGCTGGGATTACAGAGATGAGCCACTATGCCTGGCCAAGAGTTTTTATACAAGATACAAGTTTTCTGTCAGATATGTGTTCTGTAAATATTTACTACAAATCTATAACTTAACCTTTTCATTTTGTAATAGTAGCTTTTGAAGATTAAAATTTTGATTTTGATGGCATCAGTTTATTGAATTTTTTTCCTATTGTTTTTGCTATTTTTTTCATATACAAGAAATCTTTCCCCAACTCAAAGTCACTAAGATTGTTACCTGTATTTTCTTCTAGGACTTTTATAGTTTCGATTTTTACATTTAGGCCTACAATCCCTTTTAAGTTAATTTTTGTATATATTTGAGGTAAGGATGAAACTGGGAGAATATGGCCATCCAGCTGTTTCATTGTAATTTGATAAAAAGATCATCCTTTCCCCACTGAATTACCTTGGCATCTCATAAAAAATTAGTTGAACTGATCAATCCTTTGTAGTTATGATTAGAAAGAGTTCTCGAACAGGTCTAGGTTTACATTTGTCAAGTCAGGAAGGACAACGTTGTGGGAGTTTTCTCTGGGGATTGATGTAGAGGGAAATATGCGTGAGAGGAAACATTTACCTCTTACTTTGTTAAAATATTGTAATTTGGCCGTGGCTCACGCCTGTAATCCCAGCTCTTTGGCAGGCCGAGGCAGGCGGATCACAAGGTCAGGAGTTCAAGACCAGCCTGGCCAACATAGTGAAAACCCGTCTCTACTAAAAATACAAAAATTAGCCAGGTATGGTGGCTCGTGCCTATAGTCCCACCTACTTGGGAGACTGAGGCAGGAGAATCGCTTGAACCCGGGAGTTGGAGGTTGCAGTGAGCCGAGATTGCACCACTGCACTCCAGCTTTGGCAACAGAATGACACTTCATCTCAAAAAAAAAAAAAAAAAAAAAATTGTGACTTCTTTTATTGAGGCTGGGTTTTTTTCCAAATGAAAACATTTTATAAAAATTAACAGAAACCTGGCCAGGCACAGTGGCTCGTGCCTGTAATCGCAGCACTTTGGGAGACTGAGGCAGGCAGATCACCTGAGGTCAGGAGTTCGAGACCAGCCTGGCCAACACAGTGAAGCATCTCTGCTAAAAATACAAAAATTAGCCAGGCGTGGCGGTGTACACCTGTAAATCCTAGCTACTCAGGAGGCTAAGGCAGGAGAATCGCTTGAACCTGAGAGGCGGAGGTTGCAGTGAGCCAAGATCGCAACACTGCATTCTAGCCTGGGTGACAGAGAAAAAGACTCCATCTAAAAAATTTAAAAAATTTTAAAAAAAGAGGAAACCCATGAAGCAATGAAGAAAGAGCTTACAGGATAGATAGCAGCAAATCTAGTAACAGAAAATAGTATCATTTTTGGCAGAATGTCAGATAATGTGGGGAGATAATTTTCTTTTTATTTATTTATTCATTTATTTTATTATACTTTAGGTTCTAAGGTACATGTGCACAACGTGCAGGTTTGTTACATATGTATACATGTGCCATGTTGGTGTGCTGCACCCATTAACTCGTTATTTACATTAGGTGTATCTCCTAATGCTATTCCTCCACCCTCCCCCCTCCCCACAATAGGCCCCGGTGTGTGATGTTCCCCTTCCTGTGTCCAAGTGTTCTCATTGTTCAGTTCCCACCTATGAGTGAGAACATGCGATGTTTGGTTTTCTGTTCTTGTGATAGTTTGCTGAGAATGATGGTTTCCAACTGCATCCATGTCCCTACAAAGGACACGAACTCATCCCTTTTATGGCTGCATAGTATTCCATGGTGTACATGTGCCACATTTTCTTAATCCAGTCTGTCACTGATGGACATCTGGGTTGATTCCAAGTCTTTGCTATTGTGAATAGTGCTGCAATAAACATACGTGTGCATGTGTCTTCATAGCAGCATGATTTATAATCCTTTGGGTATATACCCAGTAATGGGATGGCTGGGTCAAACGGTATTTCTAGTTCTAGATCCTTGAGGAATTACCACACTGTCTTCCACAGTGGTTGAACTAGTTTACAGTCCCACCAGCAGTGTAAAAGTGTTGTTATTTCTCCACATCCTCTCCAGCACCTGTTGTTTCCTGACTTTTTAATGATTGCCATTCTAACTGGTGTGAGATGGTATCTCATTGTGGTTTTGATTTGCATTTCTCTGATGGCCAGTGATGATGAGCATTTTTTCATGTGTCTGTTGGTTGTATGAATGTCTTCTTTTGAGAAGTGTCTGTTCATATCCTTTGCTTACTTTTTGATGGGGTTGTTTGTTTTTTTCTTGTAAATTTGATTGAGTTCTTTATAGGTTCTGGATATTAGCCCTTTGTCAGATGAGTAGATTGCAAAAATTTTCTCCCATTCTGTAGGTTGCCTGTTCACTCTGATGGTAGTTTCTTTTGCTGTGCAGAAGCTCTTTAGTTTAATTAGATCCCATTTGTCAATTTTGGCTTTTGTTGCCGTTGCTTTTGGTATTTTAGACATGAAGTCCTTGCCCATGCCTATGTCCTGAATGGTATTACCTAAGTTTTCTTCTAGGGTTTTTATGGTTTTAGGTCTAACGTTTAAGTCTCTAATCCATCTTGAATTAATTTTCATATAAGGAGTAAGGAAAGGATCCTGTTTCAGCTTTCTACTTATGGCTAGCCAATTTTCCCAGCACCATTTATTAAATAGGGAATCCTTTCCCCATTTCTTGTTTTTGTCAGGTTTATCAAAGATCAGATGGCTGTTGATGTGTGGCAATATGGGTGACAAGATTTCTATAGAGTCGTGTGAATTGCCTACAATGCTACTTGTG